AAAGAGACCAGAGTGTGGCCAGACTAATGGCGTGATAAGCAGCAGATGGAAAATTGTTCCCTACAGACTACAGCAAGCTGACTAGTCAAAAGCACTGTAATGTATTGTACATATAGTGCAATCAAAGGATAAGTTTAGCAGCAAATTCAGTATTACAGAATACTCTACACGCTCTGGAGAGCTGAGATGTGTGCTGTGGGAGCTATAACTGTGACTTTTTTGGTTTTTTCTTTACATTTTCATTCTTCATGCATACATTTTGGGAGAAGAGCTGCTTCAGAACCCGAGGAAAATCTTTTTGCAAGAAAAGCATATGTGTGAAAGGGAAATATTATAATCTGAGAAGCTACAGAGACAAGGGAGTCCTCAGATTAAAAACAGGGAAGATTTTATCCCCATTTGAGTATTTATCTCTGCCATTATGAGCCTCTAGACTTCATAGTTGCCCAGGATTTAAAAAAAAAAAACCAACAAAACACAAACAACAAAATCAACAAACCAGGTTTCTACTTCAGTGCTATTTTTTATTAGCAGTTTTTATTAGCAGTAGAGCAAGATACTAAAAAAAGCCATAAAAAGCAATTATTTTCCTCTTACCTCTGTCATCAGGAATCTCAGTGCCATTGTGTGATTGCGTAAACCTTATCCTCTACAGTAATCCCTGATAATGTGCAAACTCCCCAGCCTCCTGACAAATGAATAGTAGTGGTACACTTGACAGAAAATACACCATTGCCACCAAACATGAATCTCTTTCATCCTCTTTTCATGTAATGTTCATCATTGTGGAAGCTTCTGTACTCTTTTCACAATCCCTCGGAGTCATGTACTTCATACAGCACACTTCATACAGCATCTCCCAAGCATCTTATTTTAGCTATTTCGCTACCAGCTTCTGTAAGTATATCCTACAGGTTTTCCCTTTGCTTCTGCGTGAAGGATGGTGTGTTAGATCAGGGGGAATAGGTGGAAAGGCAGGATTTGTGAACATGGATGTGCAGGCAGCAGTGAGCTGAGGCAGGTGTGGTGGCTGTGACTGGGGAGGTGGGAGATGCCTTTTAGTCCACTGGCAAGTTCTGCAGAAGTGACAAACAGCTTTAGGGTTCAGTACATATCTGACTGGTCTGGTAACTTACTCTCAGGATCAAAGCGGTTAGGTGTTGTCAGCTTAAATTTAGAAAGCTCTGAGCAAAATATCCAACCAAAACTGTGTTGTGTGCTCCATTTTAAAATCAGCTGCAACCAGTATTCCTCATTTTTCAACACGATAGAAATTAACCCTGTTTTCTAGGGCTGTTGTAGTACAACTTTAAGTTTGCAACAGAACATTGTCATATGATGAAACTGAGGCCATAGCTCTGTGGATAGCATGGATCAATGCTGTAGATGAAGGTCCTACCGTATCGAAGTCAGAAACCTACTGGGCACTGCTTTGTTTTGTTCTTTTTCACATTGCTCCACTCGTATCTTTTTCTCCAGCATTGTTACTAAGAAATACTTCATGCAATGCATTTCTGTATTGTAACTTTTTTTCACTGTTGCTGGTCATGCCTGCCTGCGTAAGTAATTCTTTCTAGCACTAGAGCTCAAAATACCCCCTATATTTGTCTGGCAAAAAACGTGCTGGGTCTCTGCCTTTCCATCAAACTAAAGCTGGGGTCCCATTGGTATGCTAATTCAAGGCAGTAGAGAGCAGTTCTCCTTACCTGCAGCTTTTATAACTCAAACATTTTCTAATCAATTTCCTAATTGGGACCTAAGGGATCCCGTTATGCTTTAATATTATACTGGACAAAATCTATATCTTTTTCTTTTAAAATCTTTAATTATGAGATGAATTTTAAATGAATTTGATCAGGGTGACTATTTACATGTTCCAAGATTTATTTATTTCTTTATTTAAGTTGACAGAAATACTCTGCTGTCAGCCATAATTCTCTATATGGGAAGTTTTTCTAAGACACTGCCATTGTATAGATCCAGTACTACATATTGAAAACTATTTTTCTTTCAGTTATTTTTGTTGTCTTCATCAGTGACCACAATGATTGGTATGTGTTGTGTGCAGATTGATTTGTGTGCCCTGCAGTTCAAAGGGTTATATAAGATGTTGTGTTAAAAGCCGGAAACTGACAATACAGGTGAACAGTTTGTGTGGTGAATGTTCCAGAGACGCTACATAAGAAAAATAACTTCATCCCAGCATTTCTGTAAACATTTTCCTCCTAACCTCAGCTGGTTGTTGGCACACTGTAGTGCTTGTGCTTTAAGACTGAGATGCTTTTAAGATTCCCCTTACATAATGATAAAAGCCCTTTTTTTTTTTTTTTTTTTTTTTTTTTGTCACATAGGCAGACAGAGACAAAAGTATCCCATATAGTAGGAGGAAGCTCACATATCCACAAAACCAAAAAAAAGTCACGTGTATGCACTATATGCTGATATACTGATTCACCAGTTGTAAATAATCTTTTTGTTGTTTCTCAGTTTACACAGGGAAGACGGTGTATACTTACATAACTATGAATTCAGTAGTCAGTCAATTTGATTTAATTTCAAAGATACTGATTTAACTCCACGTCAATATAATTTTCTTGTGGAAGTTAGATGGGATTTTCTTGGGGACTATTCTGTATTGGTTTTTATTGAATCCCAAAAACATTACCTTCATTATTTCTTTTTTTGTGTGGTCCCCATACAAACTCTTTAGATTGGAAATCAGTGTAGTTTAAATTAGAGTTATGCTTTGCTTTGTGACCATCAATGAGGGGCACAGTGAGGGGTATTGACGCAGTGAATCTCTGTCTTATGTTTGTGGTCTGCTTTTGTCCTGTCTTTTGCTGTTTTTAAGTAACTGCATTCTTTGAAGGAGAAATAGGAAGATGACATCTGGAAAGGAAGAGTGCCTACAGGGGGATTTGGTCCCACTCAGTATTCAGTCTTTGAATTTGTTTTTTTTTGTTGTTGTTTTTTTTTTTTTTTTTTTCGGCAGTTTTTTGAAGTTGTAGACTTAACAGTTATATCTAAATTTCTGATTTGTCAGGTGGGTGATAAATACACTGAGTGAAGTTCCTGTAGAAAGTAGCTGCGTAGAGACTTGGAAAGAGTTTGCTTTAGTAGTTTATATGAGGTCTGAATTTCGACTCTAAAGAAAGGATTTGCCAGTAGAGAGATCCAGCATCAGTCACTATCTGCTATCTGCTAAGCACTAGAACTATCTGCTAAGACCTGAGAGACATGGTAGGAATATGGTTATTTCTGCTTGGGTCTGCTTTTTCTCTTAGTTTTAGGTTTCAACTGGTATGCTCAAATAGCATTCTTTTGTCATATACGATGTTAGAAGAAAAATACAGATACCTTCTGTAAATAATGCAGTTCTGAGGCAACTTGGCTTAGATGAATCTTCTCACCTGCCTTTGAAGTTTTGAGGAAGGTGTGCTGGCACTAGCCAATGGGATTGAAATATTATTAAATGGGGAAGAAAAGAAAGGAATGAGATCTAAAAAGACCAGGAAACGGGTAGGTGATCAGGAGATAATCACAATTCATCTCAATCTTTTTTTCACTCAGCCTGGAGGAATCTCATCTTCTCACTGTTCCCAGGATATGCAATGTATCTTGATATGGCTGGCTTGAGAACTTTATTTTCCTACTGCAAACACAGGCAAATCAAATATGTATGGCCTGACACTGCTTGTTCTGCCATCACCCAAATTGAGAAAGCAGCTTCTGCAAAAGAAGCATTAGATGTCAAACTGAATGACACATCCTTTTGAAAGAGAAAAGCAAATCCCTCTGTGTGAATAATTGTGTAATAAATAAAAGCTCTTATTTCTCAAAACTGTTGACATTCTGGGTCAAGCTTCTCCCTGGTGTGATATGCCTGTCTTCAGCGAATTTACAGGAGGAGAGAAGTGGCCCTCCCTGCTTAGACAGAGGAGATGCTGCCCATGCATTTGTCTCACATCTTGGAATATCAGTTGTGAGCTTGTGTGTATCTGTGTATAATGTGTGTACAAGTGGGCATATGTGTGCAATAAGGAAATGAACTTCATCTTTGTTATAAATTTTAATACTCATATTTATTAGCTTGAATGCATTTGAATAATCTTCCAGGCCTGTTACCTACTACAGTTTTTCTATTCACTGTTGATATAAGCCTTACTGTCTTTTAACTTGCAGCGAAACAGGTTTATCATAGTAATTTTTAGCATTAACATTAAAATGTTATAGAAGGAGCTTAAGTACTGTAATAATCATGGAAGTGACTATAAAGCGACATTTTCCACTACATCTTATCTGTTCTTTTAGTTTCTTCATGTCATAGCTGATTAAAATGAAGATTTTGCTTCTCTTTTCTTTGTAGCTTAAATATAACTACATCAGAAGGAGCTGAAGCCTTTCTGCCTTGTAGAGAACAGTTCAAAGATCTGCTCTGCTGCAGATGCTTTTTTTGGTGTTGAGATGAGAAGCAGCTAATACCAACTGCAGTGTTAAGTGCTGCAGTTGGCTATCAAGCATTAGCATAATGAGAAATCTTTTAATTTGACCTCAAATAAAGCTAAACATTCAGCCATTAAAAAAATAAAGTTACTTTCCTGGTCTTTCATTTCTGCGGTGGGAGAGTACAAGTATAGGTCTCCTGTGCAGTTTGAATTGCCTCTCTTTTCATCTGCATTTCTGTATGTATATAGACGAGCTTTACCCTTCTTCCTGATGAAAAGAGAGGCAACCCCAAGAAATAAAGCTCATCTTACTATTTGCGTGAGTAAACAGAGATTAAGACAGGTTAAGATGATAAAAGTAATAGGTACAGTAAGAGATGAGCAGGTGGAGAGATATAGGAATCTTTGTATCTCTTTCTAGAATTCAAGGCTGTTGAATAATCTCTCTGGGAAAAGCATATACCCTATAGAAGCATTCCTCTTTAGCTTGCATTTTTTTTCCTTGTTTGTTTATAATTTCTTTGCAATTTTGCTAATATTAACATCTTTCTACAGGAGAAACATGTACCTGAAAGTTCATAAGGAAGTATGCTGAGAAATTCAAAATTCAAAGCGAAGGTGATTGTTTTTCACACTAGTGATTAGACTATGCAAATGGCTGTGGCAGGTGAAGGGCAATAGCTTCTCAAATGAGAAAAGAATGTTCATTTAAGTAACAAAACATTTTCGTATGTACCACCAGGCTCACTTCTACTAGGGGAGAAATATTCCTGAAAGTTTTTCCTCAAGGCCTGAACAGTTAAAGCTTGAAATGAAGGCTGACATGAGTAAAGAAGCATGTTATCCCGTCCTGTCTTGCTGTGACATGCTATGTAAGCCTTCTCAGAACCTGGAACAATTTGAGGTTTCGGCCTTTCACCACAGTCTTTATGTTTGAGACAATCGTTTTGTGCGAGGCTTCATGTGGGGCATTTGGTGCCAGTCAATGGCAGTGGCTGTACTCTCAAGTAGCTGGATAAGGTTCTGATGATTTTTGTGTGTTTCTCTGCATTAAAGCTTTAAAATACATCATCTTAATATTCTATAAATAAAAGTTTTATATAAGTTTTCTGTACCTCTTTAATGTCTTTCCGTGTCTGACAGAGAGAATCTTGCTGTAAAGCTATTTGCTTCCCTGTGATAAATGCTGATGTTTTCATAAATATACTTTTTACATGTACGTATAATCATGGCTATCTAATTAAAAGCTCCATTGCAGAGAAGGGACAATATTAAAATTATGATCTCTATTTTATGTACCATAACATGAAAAGAAAGGTGCTGAATTGTAAATGAAATAAAAATAGTACTGTGCTGTGCCATCTCAAAAGGTCAGCTATTAGACATCCTGCAGAAAGATGTCTGTCTTGCATATTCTTCAGAATACCAGATTCCCCTCCACCTCACAATGAGTACCGATAGTTAAATCAGTTAAATGTGAAATGAAGGTTAAATTTTTCTATGCTACTCAGTCCATAAACATAAGGCATTACATTCCTTTCTCATCTAAGTGTAAGTGGATATTTCTGTCCCTCGATAAAATTGTGGTAAATTCTACATCTTGGGCAGCATAGGGCTAGATGAGGTAGTAGGTAACAATATACACTGAACAGAAGTTTGTAAAGTCAGAAGTAATGAAAGATTTTTATGCTTTCAAGTGACTTTTCTGCAAAATAAGTAAGGAAAGATTGGAATTGGTGCTACTAGACCACCACCTTACTATCTCTCTACCCATTTTGCACTGCACATTAATCACTGCTTATGATTAATGATTGTGATAATAGTACTCAGTAGGCATTTTCTGTGCTAGAAGCTATCGTACTAGAAGCTAATTTAAAGCACTTTGTTTGCAATGTGACTTTTTTCCCATTGATAAGAGAAAGGTCTGAGGGAGAGCAGTGGCATGCTCCAGAGAATGGGAAAACCTTTTGAAAATGTTTGTGATAAAATTAGTTTAAAATTTTTTTCAGCTGCTGTCTCATGAATACCGTATTCAACTAAATAGGCTATAAAGAAACACTGAGATAGAAATGAGGATTTCTCTCATCAGTATAGCTGTTAAAAACATTTTGTTTAAGAAGTGGATGATCTCAAGACTTTTTGAAAGTCTTTGAAGCTCCAGGGATGGCTGCACAAAGATTTGGACTGCACTTGCTAGTTTGTCCATAACACTGATGTTAGGATTTTATTCTGAATTGACAATAGCTTTCCCCTCCTGCTTCCCAACCTGTTGCTTAGGTGGGCTGTAGCGCACTACTGATATTTGAGTTACTTCATATGATTGTGGAAACACCAGTGGTCAGAACTGAAGCCTTTATTGGTCTTTTTTGGAATAGAACCTTCGAGGACTACCCACTAAGGCATACTGTGTGGTGAGGCAGCACTCTCTTCTTTCCACATATTAACCTTAACAGTGTTTTCCCATCTTGACTGAAGTAAATATAGGTTTTGGTACACACAGCAGATAACTGCAAGGTTTCAACATGACAATGCCACTGTTTAAAAAAATAATTTAAGTGTTTTTATTGATTTGCCAGCAGGAAGAAGTTGACAAGTGGAGATAGACTATTATTTATGTTGTGATACACTTTCTTCATATTTGGTTGCTTTTGTAAGGCATGATATGATGGAAAATGGAATACAGTATCTATCTTAATTTATCTTAGAATAAAAGTTGCATTTGCAGGCTTTACAGCAAGACAATGTGTTCTGCTCAACATCACTTTTTAGTAATTTTGAACTTACTGTAATGACTTCTGGAAGGCTCCTTTAGATGAATAACAGAGTAAGAGTGCTTAGCCTGTATAAATAAGATGACAGTGGGATTCAGCATTCCAGACTTCCTTTAAAACCCAGTGCTGTGTACATTTAGCTCAGTATTTGAGAGTGGTTACATCAAATACATATTAAATTGGACAACTGTGTTACACTAATGTAGTCACATCAGAATTTTTGTTGTCTGCAGTACTGGTCAGGCATGTCCAACCTGCAGCATATGGGTTGCATGCATCCCAGCACAACTCACAATGCAGTTCACCCCCTGCCCCATACTATCTTAGTGGTGGCTCTGCCTCACCAAGCAGCGCAGCCTGGCCCCGCAGCGCCAACAGAAAATCACTATTAACCCTATATGGGCTAAAACCAGGGCACAGGAAGCAGTGGAGTGCTGTCTTAAGTTGTGATAAATAAGTTTATGGATTTTGACACATTGGCTAAACACAGTCCTGTAAATAGCAAGAAATACACTGTAGTGCTTCCCGTTTTGACAAAGGAATTTGAGAGTAGGTTTCAAGATTGCTGAAAAAATTAATTTTTTAATTTACAACTTGTTTTTCAGTCAACATTACATTATCTGTGAATTTTCAAATGGAATGTGTTGAGTTGCAATTGAAAGTTTGATCATGCCCCTTTATCAGACATTTATAAGATCTTTCTTACCATTACTTCACAGTCATGCCTTGTGTCATTGCTTTTTGGTAGTGTATACATCTGTGAATGACTGTTGTGAAGGATGAAGTACAGAAGGAGTAAAATTTCATCCAAAATGTCTATGAATACCTTGAGAAATTGCTAAGAATTGCAAACACTGCCATCAAACCAGACTGATGTGTTAGTTTCACAAAAACAATTTTGCGTCTCCCACTAGTTTTATGATTTTTCTTGCTCTCATTTTTATGTTTTATTGAAAAACCATAAAAATTAAAATAGGCTTTATTATTTGATATTCATTAGCTATATTATGTATATTTTAAGAGGGCTTCTCTGAAAATAATGCATCCTACTTTATGATGTTGGCCTGTGATAGCAGGGGCAAATGTTGATGGTATGGCAGTGGAGGTTGAACCTTTTCACCAATATTCCGTTATGTTTGTTGTCATGCGACAGATGGCAGCAGAGAGGCAGTCTGGCGAAATGGCATCTGGCATGGAAGCGTGAATGAAGCAAAGCTGTGTCATTGAATTTCTCCATGTAGAAAAAATGCACTGATTGGCATTCATCAGCACTTGCTTGAATGTTTTAGAGACCAGCCAGTGGATGTGTGCACAACAAAGTGGTGGGTGGTGAATTTTAGCAGTGATAATAGTGACAATGATTCACCTCCCCTGGTACAGACCAACACGAGTACGGCATGCAGGCACTAATGGTGGTGACTGTATTGAAAAATGGTATGTTGTAGCTGAGAATTTGCTTGACCAAACAGTGTTATTGTGCCCTTTTTCTCTGCTATAGTTTCCATGGGAATAATAATTACTTTTAGAATAACTTATGAATACGTAGCCCATGACAATTCTTTTTCACTCAGTGCAGCCCAGGCAAGCCGAAAGGTTGAACACCCGTGGTACTGGGCACATAAGATAACCCCCAAATTTCTGCTGCACAGGGCATAATGAGATAGCATGGACAGCAACAAAAAACACCTTAACAAACTTGTGTAAACATAAGTGTTTACTTGGTTGTAGCAGACTCATGGGAGCTATCTACAGATGAGGAAAAGCTCGACCAAAAAAGGAGCCACTGATGTTTTTTCATGGTTGTGTTTCAGATATTGATATTTTTATATATTTAACTTTAGAGCTATGACCTACTTGTAACCAAACATGACAGGAGGTCTGAACAATGTTAATTGCCAACAGGAAAGAGAGATGATCGATAAGGATCTGAACCCATAAATTCCCAGTACATATGTTTGTCTCTGTTGTTAGGAGAGTCCATTTAAAATCAGTGAACTTGGAGCAGTTGTAAAAACAAACCAGATATATACCTGAGAGCCTGTGAAATTCCTCTTTCAGCTCATGGAATAGAGATGTCTTCATTTAAAGCAGAGAATCTGTCCTAGACTTCTGTGTGTGTAAAACTTGTTTGATGTTTGTAGTGCAGATGTTCACGATGTTAACAGCCTGGACTTTTTTTCAGTACATACATTCACACACAGGTCTGATCTGAGGAATAGGATTTGATCAGTAGTGGAAGTGCAAATCTGTAAAGAAGTCTGAGAATTCTCCAGGAAATCTTTCTCCTATTTGAAACAGGGTACTTTTCCCTCTGAGTCCATAATCAGGCTAGAAATGAAGTGTAATGGTGCTGGATTGCTGTACATCTTTGCTTAAGGAGGCAATACTTTTGTTCTAGAGTGCACCTCGCTTACAGGGGAACAGATCCAGTTCTGACCCTTTAAAACATCTGTTCCTTTGTAGGATGCAGAATAGTTAGGCTGCCTTTTGCATTTTATTTCTTTTCTTTTTTTTTTTTTTTTTTTTTTTTTTTCCACTTCCTCTTCCCACTCCTTTACATTTGTTGCAGATTAGAGGAAAACTGACTGATAAAAATACAAGTAAGTTTTCTAAATAGGGAAGCTAGTACCTCTTAGAACTGGAGAACTCTGGAATGATATTTAGAATGAAATGAAGTTCAGATAAGTGCTGAGAAATAAATTGCCTATGGCCCCATTCCAGGAGCAAAATAATCACACAGCCAATGACCATCTTCAGCTCTGAGTAAGGAACAATTTTGGGGGAAGGGAAAGAGATTATTCCATTTTTGTTTCTATTTTTAGCATTTGTTTGAACTTACTGTGCACCTTACATAGAAAGTGTTCAAAGGTTTGGCAGTCTTTATTGACACTGAAAGGCAGAAATATTGATTTATTGTATGTGTTAAAGGATCATTTCAGTCATCAATGAATTGCATCCATTTCTGGAGAGAAACACAGAGGTACTTTTCTGAATACAGCAATTCCAAGAAATAGCATGAGATAAGATCAAGAGCTTGTCATAAGCTCTTGAAAAAGCAACAGAAAGAGTGTCAGTAAGAACAAATTAATATATTGGAGATAGCCT